CCGCTCTCCTCTCCTCTTTTCAAAATGCATTGGCGGGGAAGGTCCAAGGGGATCTTTTCATCCATTGTGGTTTGTGCAGGGCCTGTGCCCCAAACTACTTACGGAGGTGATAAGGAAGATCTGGTCACAATTAGTTATTTTAAATTGTCTACACCAGTCTGAAAAAGTTGGGCAGAATCAGAACGTGGACAAGATCAACGTGTCAGCACTAGGTATAAACAGGGCTTTAAATAACCAGAGACGGTACAACAAGTCAATGTCATGTGTATTACTGATACGTAACTCAATGCTGTCAATGCTAGCTAGCAGTCATGACTCATGATCGGGGCGTATTGTGACACGATGACTAATGGTACATTTACTTGAGTCAAACAAATATACATTTTATTTTACCAAGCAGATCAATTGTCCACTTCTGTTTAAGCCTCAGTCAAATAAGAAATTCTCTACATTCAAAATACATTTTACTATATTTTCCCATTTCAGCATGATCTTGTGTGTATGTAGTGTCTGTCCCAGTCTCTAAAGCAAATCTGTCATCACCTTCTCAAGGAGGACGTCCCTGCTTAAGAGTCATATGCCAAAGCCATCTGGGCTGTAAGACAATTAGGCCTAAGAACTGGCACACAGCAGCATTTAGCTGAACACATTACTACTGATGTGTTACTAAGAAAAAAGGGTCGTATGACATTCAATAAACAGTGTCACAAACAGTGGTTAAATTGGGCCGGAGTTACCCGGAGCGGGGCTCCTGCACCACTGATCAAAGGGAGAGCCAGGCGGAGCCGAGCTCCAGAACCTAACAGGTCCAAAGAGAAAAGTATGATCAACCATCAAAATCAATCAATCAGTTTATCCAACTCAAAATAATACATTTACCCAAAACGTATTTTTGTGAGTAAACCGAGTTAGATAACGTTGATATTCTGAATTGGTTTGACTTTATTATTTTGTTTGACTTATTGGTTTGACTTTATTATTTCATTATTTTGGAGTAAACCTATTGATTCATTAGTTGGATAAACATATTATTTTAAGTTAGAAGGGTGACATGTCAATTACAGAACATTCGGAAAGTATTCAGACCCCTTCCCTTTTTCCACATTTTGTTACGTTACAGCCTTATTCTAACATGAATTAAATTAAATCCTCATCAATCTACACACATTACCCCATAATGACAAAGCGAAAACAAGTTTTTAGACATTTTAGCAGATTTATTAAAATAAAAAACAGAAAATACCTTATTTACATAAGTATGCTATGAGACTCGAAATTGAGCTCAGGTGCATCTTGTTTTCATTGATCATCCTTGAGATGTTTCTACAACTTGATTGGAACCTGCTCCAGAGCGCTCAGAACCTCAGACTGGGGCAAAGGTTCACCTTCCAACAGGACAACGACCCTAAGCACACAGCCAAGACAATGCAGGAGTGGCTTCGGGACAAGTCTCTGAATGTCCTTGAGTGGCCCAGCCAGAACTCGGACTTGAACCCGATCAAACATCTCTGGAGAGACCTGAAAATAGCTGTGCAGCGACACTCCCCATCCAACCTGACAGAGCTTGAGAGGATCAGCAGAGAAGAATGGGAGAAACTCCCCAAATACAGGGGTGCCAAGCTTGTAGCGTCATACCTAAGAAGACTTGAGGCTGTAATCGCTGCCAAAGGTGCTTCAACAAAAGTACTGAGTAAAGGGTTTGAATACTTAAGTAAATGTGATATTTCAATTTATTTTTAAAAAATGTGCAAGAAATTCTAAAAACCAGTTTTTGCTTTGTCATTATGGGGTGTTGTGTGTAGATTGATGAGGAGAAAATACAATTTAATACATTTTAGAATAAGGCTGTAACATAACAAAATGTGGAAAAAGTCAAGGGGTCTGAATACTTTCTGAATGCACTGTACATGTTGGGAGGAGACGGTGACTGATTAAGCACAGAACACCAAATCCTTATAAAACAGTTCCATATTTATTGCAAAATATTTTCGTACAGAATACAACTGAACAAAAACAAACATTGGAGGAATGGACAGTAAGGCCAACATCAGAACTCCAAGTGCTGTACTGTACACACCAATAGTAAAATGTCTTGCTTAAATGGTATATGTACTTCTCACAGCAAACCTCTAGTAGTACATTTCCAAACCTCCTGGCTCTTCTAAATAATTATTGCCTTTACCTGTGCACAGAGACTACTCACATGACCCAATGTAGGACACCAGATGACAATCTTTGATGATTTAATTGCTTCGATCATAAAGGATCTCTCGATTCATTATGCATCATTAAAATTATAAACTAAAAAAATATTTGGATTAATTAAAACTTTGAAACTGAATTCTTTGTGATATCAGTTGTCCTTCAGAAGCTGGGAAAGAGGGACTGGGCGCCGTCTCAAATGACACCCTATTCCCCATGTAGTGCACTACTTTTTTCGTACCCTACAACCTGTTGTCCAAACTCCATAGCAAACTCCTCAGATCACATTATGCTCTTGTTCTTTTGCCCAAATAGTAAATCGCCATGATAGTTTTGTGAGACAAAATCAACATAGGGAGCCACAATAGTGCTATTCAATTATTTCAAACGACTTGAACATTGATAATGGCTACAGCATTATATCTAGATGAACTAGGCTGTGCAGTCCTGTGCACATCCTTTTAAAGATTTGACACTGGTGTAGTAGTACTTCTTAGAGTAAACCTTTAATAAACCTTACTTTCCCCCGCTTGTGCTCTCTCTCACGTCTTTACAACCTTTCCACAAAAGGCAGAGTAAGACAGGTTACATTTTTCTGACATTCAAATGTACAACTTAATTGGCTTACTCAAAGCTGGGATCTATAAAACCACTGGAAGTTTAAAATAGAAAAATGAAATAGAAGATTCAAATATTCATCTTTTTTTTTAAACACATAAGCCCTTTGGAAAACAAACCAAAAAATACAAAGGATGATGTACAATCCAAAATGCATTGCCAAACACAGACCGGGGAGGGTTTCTTCTATGTAGGCTGAATATGATGCGAGACAGGTAACTACAGATGCACACTTCATATATTTTTTTGCCATTTCTAATTCAATGTTTACAATACATCTGTTTGAGAAAAAAAGATACATCACAAGAGTCCAAAGGCTGTCAAAAGTCCACATTGTGACAAAATAAGAAAGAAAAAGCATATACACCATTTTTCTGGCTCAGCTTTGGTGTAAGTTTACACACGTCACTTGACCAATAATCCTTTCTGTTCTGTATTGGAGGATTCATCGTCGTGTACAGTATCAGTGATCTTCCTCTATCCAAAGGACACCAAGGCTTCCAGAAATCCAAAGTAATTCTGTCCGCAAGAGTCCAAAGTTGACCTAAACTCAATGACAAACCTCTCTGCACCACCCAATGGACTGAGCCCTGTCTGAGGCTGAGTGTGATGATGCTAGCAAGCAGATGGGTAGCTAACGCACTCGCTGTGTAGTACAACGCTACGCTACACGCTGAGGAGACTGACAGAGTCAGGTTCAGCCAACAAAAGACACGGGCTTCGTTCATGCTCTTTATACAAATCTAAAAAGAACAATAGGTATCTGGGTGATGGTATAAGGAAAATGACTTGCACTGCGTCGTCTGACAAATAAGTATTTCCTTTCTTTTAAAGCAACACGCAAACCACTCTCTACAATGGTGTATTTAAACATTCATTTCATACCTAAAGCAAGAAAGGTATGTTGGGCTGAAGTGAACTCATCCACACGTCTATTCTGCTATAAAACAGTCCTAGCTGTTGTGTTACCAGATATTAACTACAAGTTCCTTAATGAATGCACACACCAAATTGTCAGAAGGCTCTAATGTAAAAACGGTTGACAAAAACAAAACAAAAACATTCCGTAACCATTTTGATACTAGAAGCGTTTCAATGAATCAGGACCCTGAGTAGAGAAGGACATAGGCTTGGGTGAAATTTCAGCAAACACCAAAAATAATATGACTTTAGCTAAATAGAAACACCTTTAGACATAAATAACTCAGTACTAATTACTGGTAATCTTAAAACCACACATGTAACCAAACCCACAACAAAGTCTTCAGCTTAGAATATGCATATACTCATGCATATAGTGTGTATTTTCCTCTTACGTATGTACGGCAAGCGGGAGGGTCTATACAGAGGAGCCTTTAGTTATACCATCACCCTTTGGAGACTAACACTGATTACAAATAGCTTCATACGAAGGAGAGCAAACATAATACACAGGATTCAAGACAGGGAGATGGACAGTTCTCTGCAGCCTTGTAAACAGGGGAGGCAAGACAGGCAAACGGGGGAACAGGGTGGGGTGCAATTAAATGGGGAGTAACAGACATCCTCTTAGAGCAGCACAGGTGAGGGACTTTTCAGATGGACTTCCTCCTTGGTTCATAGGGACGTCCTCCTTGTTCACCAATAGGAGTGGAGCTTGTGGCACCACCTCCTCCTCCTGATGTAACCGGCCGTGGCTGCTGGTTACTGGGGGCCACGGAGAAAGCATTGCAGAGCCTTTCAGGGGCAGCGGCTGGATTTTTTCCATGCAGAAATGGGCAACCAAAAAACAAAATAAATAAATCTAGTCAGTATGACCATATCCAGCTATGTGATACTGCTGGAAACCCTGGGATGTATTCATTAAGGAAACCACTTACCGTTTAAGATACATATGGAAGCAAACAGAGCAAACGGAACGAAACACGTAGGGAACTACCTGAATTTGCCCAATAGAAACTCTCGTTTGTGTTTTCTGTTTGGAGTAAACGGTTTCTATGGCAAAACGTTTTGCAACAGCCAGAACGTTTTGCAACAGAATCGGCATAATGATTACACCCCTGGTGCAACTTCACGAAACAGAACACAACAAAGCGCAGCGGCTGAGTCAGGATGGACGAGCAAGTGGCTAATCGCAAAGGACTGAGGAGCAGACTGACTGACTAACGGACACCAGCAGAAAACAGACTGCAGCGCCGCCCTCAAACGAAGAGCTGGATGCGCTCGCGGATGGTCTGCCTGCAGATGGGGCATGTCTTGAGGGCGGCGCTGCAGTCGATGCAGGAGGCGTGGCCACACTGAAAGACCAGCTTGATGTGGTTGTCGATGCAGATGGGGCAGGTGATGCGCTCCTCCATCTGGCGGTAGCGTGACTGCAGCTGCTCCAGCAGGTTGTGCTGCTCCGAGTTCTCCGAGCCCGGGCTGCAGTCCACCTCTGTCTGGTCTGGAGGGAGAGGAGGGGGATACACATAATTCACTTCACCATTTAACAAAACACTCCATTAAAGGGTATTGTGATCTGTACTAGTATTATCAGGACATCTATTTATGTTGTAGCTTCTATTTATCAATTACTATCAATGCCCCTCACCGACACACATCAATTAATATCAGAAAACAAGAAAGGGCTTCTAGTCATCTGTGGTATCATTACCTTGTCTTATTTTCTTGGTGATTGTAACCTGGCATTTGATGCATTTCTTCATTCGATGAGCACACTCTGTGGAGAGATTAGGGAGAGGCACGAGGAGTCACTTCAGATCCCAAACATCAAGACCTCAATGCTAAAATATGGTACCCGAGTACCATTGTGGGAACACCAAAGGCCAGTTTCTCAGATACTGATTAAACCTAGTCTTGGACTAAAACCACTTTCAATGGATGCATTTTAGTCCAGGACTAGCCTTAATGCTCCAGCTGCCCCCACACACACATTATTTCCTGCAGTGACACACACACCCAATATACCTTCGCAGGCAACGCTGTGCTGGCAGGGGCAGAAGAGGACGAGCAGGGCCAGCTCGGAGCAGATGAGACACTCGCTGGGCCCCGGCAGGGCGGGCATGGCCAGGTTGGTCATGGTATTGGGGGTGGTGTGGACCCGCCGCAGGCTGGTGCTGCTCAGTGACGTGCCGCATGTGATTGCCTGCAGCCGCTGCAACCTGGAGGAACGGATGGATGAAAGACTGATTGGTACACTGTATGAAAAGAGAACAAATCCTATCTTCTTTGTTTTGGTTAGTTATTTGTTCTCGTCTTTTCCACTTATTTTAAAGCCCATTTATGTCTGATTGGGGCCTTAATCTCCAGGCTGAGCCTTTAGAGCAAGGAGCGTAAGAGGTGCTGTTATAATAGTAGAACCATTAAGGACGATACAGCCAGCCAGTCAGTAGTTGTACATACCGCTGCTTCTCGGAGAAGCTCTTGATGAGCTGCAGCACGGCTGTGTCAGCCACCAGGTCCAGCGGGCTCTTGCCCTTGTGGTTGGCGTAGTTGATGTCGGCGCCCTCCTGTGCCAGGAAACAGGCGATGGCTGCGCCCACGCTCAGCTCTGTATTACCCATCAGCCCCGAGCTGCTCAGCTACACAGGAGACAAGAGGAGGGAGAGAGGAGGAGAGTTGAGTTCTGACGAGCCTTTATTCTTGTAAATTAAAGGAATCACATGAGATTCAAAGCTGCACACACAGGATATGAGAGAGAGAGACAGAAAGTACAGTGCACAACAACCACAACAAGATTAGTGGGGACGTCAGATGACACTAAAATGAGTAATTGATAATTAGTATCAATTAATCAATAATCTTCTAGTAATCAGCGGCACGTCAGATGCAAGCTGCCCACATGTTTACTAAATGCAAAAGGCATGTCTGGTCCTCGTACATAGACTATAGTACAGCAAGGGAGTGATGTCACTAAACCCAATGCACCCAAGCTGGAGAAATAGACAAGCCCAAATCCAATCAAATCCAGAACCCCCCTCCTTTGCTGACAATGTGAATACAGGGTACTTAGACTAGCCACCTTGAGATGGCCAGTGTGTGTGTGTGTGTGTGTGTGTGTGTGTGTGTGTGTGTTTCCCCTATCCAAAAAGGCTTGGCAGATGGCCAGTTTGAGCACTGCAGTGTTTGGGGTCGTGCAGATACCATTCGGCGGTGCCAGTGGCAGCTAGAACACAATGCTGATGATTTGCATTAACCTACCTAGCTAATAGAAGGAACACATTTTTTAAATAGACCTGTGTATGACAATTGAGAGGTGAGCAGTGATTGTGCCTATTTGAATCTAGGGAAGATGATTAGATAGTCTAATAGTGTAAGGGTAATTAATTTATCCCTCAGTGATTTACATTTATGTCATTTAGCAGACGCTCTTATCCAGAGCGACTTACAGTTAGTGAGTGCATACATTTTTCATACTGATTTAATGTTTCGTTCAAAACCAGGTCTCTCTCTTATTTTGGTCTCCCTTTCTCTTCCTGTCACGCCTCTTTTTGTATAATTTCTCTCGCACCACCCAAGAATCAAGAAAAATCCCACCCTTCCTCACAGTCTTACCTGGCAGTAGAGCAAGGACGATGACGAGCCCGGGCACCCCTCTCCTCTCCCCTGCGTGGTGGTCGTGGTGCTGGTGGTGGCGGGGGTGAGCGTGGCGTTGGCCAGCTGCGGGCGGCTGAGGGCGACGTGCATGGCCGTGTCCCCATCCTCGTCCTCCACATTGACGTCCGCGCCCTCGGCCACTAGCAGCTGCACCAGGTCCCCGTGGCCTTGCGTCACCGCCAGCTGCAGCGGCGTCTGGTTGCGGTTGTTGCGGATGTTGACGTCACAGCGGCCCTGTGAGAGGGTGGGTGAGGGGTAAGAGAAAGTTAGTTGGGATGTTCCTTTTGAAGCTTAAAAGGCACACGATCATTGAATATAACGTTGTTGCGGCCATCTTTGGGTGTTGCTGTCATTTTTCAGTTTTTGGAAGGCTCAGAAGGTACCAATGTTACATTGCATGCATTTGCTTTTTATGTCGCTGTCCTGTGACTGCTTGGTATCTAAGTATTTTACTGTGCCGTTGTGTCCCTATTGTGTTGTACCTCACTGATTGTCCCGATTTTAACAACGTGGGCACTGAAACTGATTTCGATCCACTGTTGTTTCAAAAAAGTATTCTATTTTGTTTTGTTCTAGTACTTGTCATGTTATACTTCGGCATTCCTGTCCCAGTTCCGAAGAATGTTGTCATGGCAGTATTAAGGAAAGTTTCTTGGAAACTTAATTTTAAGCCAACAAGTCCTTGAAGGTGTTACATGGAAACAACAACCCTTCTAGCTGCTCCACAACCAAATATGTAATAACCGTTAATAGCCACCAGGGGGAGGTCTCCTTCACAACACTTAGGAGCAGAGAGAGAAGGGGAGATAGAAAGATACAGATATATACAGGCTGAGGGAAACCCTTTTTTCAGCGCCTTTACTTACCTCTTTCACAAGGATCTCAGCCACGTCTCGGTGGTTGTTGAGGGCGGCCAGGTGCAGAGCCGTAAAGCCGTCCTCCTTCTTGACGTCCACCAGCTGACGCGCCCGAGCCAAGATCTTCTCTGTGGCCCTGTGGAAACAAATGGTCTCGGGTTCAGATGGAGTATATAGTGCACTACTCATATATGGACATGTTTCATGCCTTGGGGACAGAAGAGTGCTTTATGGATTATGAATCACTGTTAACATACACACACACACGTGGAAACCCTGGAATCAGAGAGAAGGTGTGTATGACACATTTACCTGCATCACAATCGGTAGCTTAAGGGGCATTTGGATGATGGCACAAAGACGGCTGTTTCAGGAGCTAAAACTAACCCACCATTAGAAGGAAAGGAAACAACACAGCCAGCGAGCCCCAACATGGGGCAGGGATTTCCATTAGGCAGTGCTAAGCGTTTTACTGAGAGCAGCGGCTCTAAACAGCATTGACCTCCAGCTCTCGGCTGAACTTGTATAATGGATTGGCGTTGCTCTTTCCTAACCCCCCCCCCCCGCACACCAACTCTGTCTCTCATCAGTCACTTAGCTACTCCACCATTCCCACACTCAGATAAAGCTTCCTCAAGCACTGATCATAATTCACTCTAATCCACACCACATATTGGCCAACAAAATTGTTTTCTATAACCACTTCCACAGACTTTGACCAATCTCCATAGTGTACAAAATGAGAGCTGGTTGTGGAGAGACATTGAGCTCGGGCTTTGAGGACAAATAGGACAGACGTATTGACTAATCCTGCTCTGTTATTCATGCGCTGGGTTTTGATATTGCAGTCCGTCGGGGGGCCGGCTGGCTGTAAAGCAGGGCTGTCCGTGTCTGTCGTCTGGCTTTACGGCGTGTGAAATTAGCCCTGCCTACACAGTATCATACAGTTCTCAGGCCACGGCAGACAAGCATCACACAGACATGCCGGTTAGACAGACAAGCAGACAGACAGCCAGACACGAACCAGACCCTTTCCCATTAGTCAGAGTTGTTTTCCCCTTGTATCTACATTTTTATAATCTGCTGGTTTGCCTATTTGCATCTCCAAGTTACTGTGAAATAATTTGAAAGCTCATGAGGCATTTATAAATTAAATTCTTCAAGAATAAATAGTTATACTGTATATCCTTAATTGACTGGGTAGCCGTTTAGTAGTTACAGTAGTGTACAGTAAAAGCACGGTCAAAGGACGCATAGTCTATTTCTGCTGCGGCGTCAAATAAGGGGGGTTTAATGCAGCATTATTTATGATGGCAACAAAGTAACAGAGTGCAGTCCTCATTAACATATTGCTCATCCGCTTCAGTACTGTACACGAGCAGCAGAGGTGGCTGGGTGGAAACAACCAGTGGATGGGCATGGTCACATATAGTCATTCTTCACCTCAGGGCAGCCAGCCTTGCTAGGAGCAGCTCAACACTCACTGTGGCGCTTAGAGCAAATTACAGGTAAATTCTAAAATAAAGGATTCTACAGGTGTCTGGGACTCTATTGGAGGGATGCGACACCATTCTTCCATGAGAAATTCCATCATTTGGTGTTTTGTTGATGGTGGTGGAAAACGGCGTCTCAGGTGCTGCTCCAGAATCTCCGAAAAGTTTTCAATTTGGTTTCGATCTGGTGACTGAGACGGCCATGACATATGGTTTACATTGTTTTCATGCTAATCAAACCATTTAGTGACCACTCGTGCCCTGTGGATGGGGGCATTGCCAAAAAAATGGCCTGCCCAGCATTTTTATACATGACCCTAAGCATGATGGGATGTTAATTGCTTAATTAACTCAGGAACTGCACCTGTGTGGAAGCACCTGCTTTCACCTGCTTTTACTTTGTATCCCTCATTTACTCAAGTGTTTCCATTATTTTGGCAGTTACCTGTACATACTGTACTACTGGTGGGGGGGGACATCTAGGTCATTTGTACCTGTAGTGCGACTCACTTGGGGAGGAGGGAGAAGCGAGGTGGATAGGGAGGTTGTCACGGCTGCCTACCTTTCTCCTCCATCAAGACTGCATCTCTCAGACCCCCTCTGCCCCTCCCTACTTCACAAGCTCATAGTCCCACCCCCTTACCCTGCAGCCCTGGGAAAGTGTCTCTGATTGGATTTTAGCCCAGTCACTCTGTCGTCTCTTACCTCGTCTTCCCTCGGTTTAGATCTCTGCATAATTTCCATAATAACCCCTGCACGTTCATGAATATTCACATATCCCCTGATCTACGAGGCATTACTGTCGTAACATGAGCTCATACATCATGACACCAACGCAATGGTAATGACTTCGCTAGAGAGAAAAAATATTTGTAGTTTCTGAATTAATGTCTTAATTGTGGACTCATTGGGGAATATAAACATCCTTTTGAGTGACATCGATTTGGGGAGGTGGAAAGATCAATGCATTTTTAGGAGGGCCAGAGTGAGTCAGACGTTTAATGTTGTTGTGGTTGGACTGTGTGTGAGGGGTAAGGCCTAGCTGGGGTGCGTACGGCCAGACGGACTTGCCTTTGGCTGGGAGCTTGGCTGGGGACTCGGGAGGAGCACAGAGAGCCCAGGTCACCAGACAGAGAAAGATGGAGAGAGAGACAAGAGGAAGATTGGAGGGAGAGAGAGAATTAGAAGAGAGGGAGAGAGGAAGATAGGAGAGGGAGAGAAAGAGAGAGGAGAGAGGAAGGAGAGAGTATCTCTCTCTCTCATGGTCTGCCTGCCTCTCCCGTTGCCTTCCCAAGATCATTTTAGAACTAGGCTAAGACCTTCTATTCCCATTTCCTCAGATAAACTAAATAAATACCTTCACTCAAATAAACAAACGCACATTTCTATCGGCAAAACCACTCGAGAGGAGCGGCAGAAGAATTGGAGAACTCAAAACCACTTTAGGGATGCTACTTTGGGGACAAATAAACTCAAACAACTAAACAATGAAAGAAACACAGACACTTGGGCATTTTTCAGCATGCATGCATACAGTACCTTAGACCACACTGTAATATATGTATGTGTACATAAGTGAAAAGAGCTCCTCCAGAATACTGTAATTATCAATGTTATTTTCATTTGCAGCAGCAGCTGATGTCAGGCCAAATGAATGCTACAGTGAGGATGCTGAATTCCAGAACTGCACATATGACACTTGCCAGAACAGATTGGCCATTTATTTTATGATTCTGTGTTGCAGCCTTCCTGACTGACTGTATTCCCTTTTACCCTTGGTTTGTGCCGAGTCAACATTCTCCCCATAAAAGGAGATGCTTTTCACTGGGGCGGGTCCCTAAGACCTTCACGAACTTCTACAGATGCACCATTGAGAGCATCCTGTCGGGCTGTATCACCAACTGGTACATCAATTGCACCGTCCGCAACCGCAGGGCTCTCCAGAGGGTGGTGCGGTCAGTTCAACGCATCACCGGGGCACACTGCCTGTCTTCCAGGACATCTACAGCTTCCGGTGTCACAGGAAGAACAAGAAAACAACAAAATGTGGAACAAGGGGCATGAATACTTTATAAAGGCACTGTATATACTGTATTCTAGTCATTGAACACTGGTCACTTGAATAATGTTTACATACTGTTCTATCCACTTTATACACTGAGTATATCAAACATTAGGAACACCTTCCTAATATTGAGTCGTCCCCCCGGAAACTGTTGAGCGTGAAAAACCCAGCAGCGTTGCAGTTCTTGACACAAACCGGTGCACCTGGCACCTTCTACCATACCCCGTTCAAAGGCACTTAAATATTTTGTCTTGCCCATTCACCCTCTGAATGGCACACATACACAATCCATGTCTCAATTGTCTCTAGGCTTAAAAATCATTCTTTAACCTGTCTCCTCTCCTTCATCTACACTGATTGAAGTGGATTTAACAAGTGACATCAATAAGGGATCATAGCTTTCACCTGGTAAGTCTATGTCATAGAAAGAGCAGGTGTTTTTTATGTTTTGTATACTCAGTGTATGTATATACTGTATTCTAGTCATGCTCATCCTATATAACTACTGCTGTACACAACTTTTCTATTCATATACTGTCCATACTGTCTTTATACACCATTATATGTATATACACTAAGTGGCTAGTTTATTAGGTACACCACCCCGTTCACGAAAATGGTTCTCTTCTACAGACAATGAGTCACGTGGCCGTGGCTTGCTATATATAGCAGGCAGACAGGCATCAAGGCATTCAGTTACTGTTCGACTGAATATTAGAATGGGCAAAATGAGTGACCTAAGCGACTTTGAGCGTGGTATGATCGTCGGTGCCAGGAGTGCCGGTTCCAGTATCTCAGAAAAGGCCGGCCTCCTGGACTTTTCACACATGACAGTGTCTAGGGTTTACCGAGAATGGTGCAACAAACAAAAAACATCTAGTCAACGGCAGTCCTGTGGGAGAAAACAGTTAATTGATGAGAGAGGTCGAAGGAAAATGGCAAGAATCGTGCAAACTAACAGGCGGGCTACAAACAGGCAAATAACGGCGCAGTACAACAGTGGTGTGCAGAACGGCATCTCGGAACGCACAACTCGTCGGTCCTTGTCACGGATGGGCTATTGCAGAAGACAACCACATCGGGTTCCACTCCTATCAGCTAAAAACAAGAAGAACCGGCTCCAGTGGGCACGCGATCACCAACACTGGACAATTGAGGAGTGGAAAAAATTGCTTGGTCTGACGAATCCTGGTTCCTGTTGCCTCATGCTGATGGCAGAGTCAGGATTTGGCATAAGCAGCATGGTCCACCATCCTGCCTGGTGTCAACGGTACAGGCTGGTGGTGTTGGTGTAATGGTGTGGGGAATGTTTTCCTGGCACATGTTAGGCTCCTTGACACCAATTGAGCAACGTTTGAACACCACACCTTGTAGAATCCATGCCCTGAAGAATTCAGGCTGTTCTGGAAGCCAAAGGGGTGTCCGACCCGATACTACATGGGTGTACCTAATAAACTTGCCACTGAGTGTATATTTATATTATTTATATTCCGGTCTCTGACATTGCTCGTTCTGAAAATGTTTTTATTTTTCTGGATAATGTGTGTATTGTTTAAACATGGTTTTATGTGTTGCTAGGTATTACTTCACTGTAAAACCATCTGCAAATCTGTGTATGCGACTAATAAACTTTTATTTGATTGAATAGAGATACAAGCAATATAGGGCACGTGTGTGTGTGTGATCATATGCATATGTGAGCTAGTGTGTGTGCAAGTGTGCGTGTGTTTAACATGGATTTCAGGCTCGGGGGGTGTAGTTGTTATTTAGTCCCCCCAGAGCTGTGGGAGTGAGCTGTGGCAATGTGATGAAAGAATCTGGGTCATAACTACTACTAGTGGGATTGGGGGGTCCTATCAAGTTGGGGGCCTGGCTTATCAACAGCAACACAAGTGTCTTGCTATACGGTGGAGGGTTAAAGCCAGTTACTCTAGACCATTTCTGGTTAAGCCAGGCCTAACAGACTGCGTTCTGATGTTCATCAATCACTTGTTGGGTCTATAAGCATTCATTCGGTCCTATACAGTGGGGAGAACAAGTATTTAATACACTGCCGATTGTGCAGGTTTTCCTACTTACAAAGCATGTAGAGGTCTGTAATTTTTAATCCAGAAAATCACATTGTATGATTTTTAAGTAATTAATTTGCATTTTATTGCATGACATAAGTATTTGATACATCAGAAAAGCAGAACTTAATATTTGGTACAGAAACCTTTGTTTGCAATTACAGAGATCATACGTTTCCTGTAGGTCTTGACCAGGTTTGCACACACTGCAGCAGGGATTTTGGCCCACTCCTGCAGATCCTTCAGGTTTCGGGGCTGTCGCTGGGCAATACGGACTTTCAGCTCCCTCCAAAGATTTTCTATTGGGTTCAGTGGCTAGGCCACTCCAGGACCTTGAGATGCTTCTTACGGAGCCACTCCTTAGTTGCCCTGGCTGTGTGTTTCGGGTCGTTGTCATGCTGGAAGACCCAGCCACGACCCATCTCCAATGCTCTTACTGAGGGAAGGAGGTTGTTGGCCAAGATCTGGCGATACATGGCCCCATCCATCCTCCCCTCAATACGGTGCAGTCGTCCTGTCCCCTTTGCAGAATAGCATCCCCAAAGAATGATGTTTCCACCTGCATGTTTCACGGTTGGGATGGTGTTCTTGGGGTTGTACACATCCTTCTTCTTCCTCCAAACACGGCGAGTGGAGTTTAGACCAAAAAGCTCTATTTTAGTCTCATCAGACCACATGACCTTCTCCCATTCCTCCTCTGGATCATCCAGATGGTCATTGGCAAAATTCAGACGGGCCTGGACATTTGCTGGCTTGAGCAGGGGGACCTTGCGTGCGCTGCAGGATTTTAATCCATGACGGCGTAGTGTGTTACTAATGGTTTTCTTTGAGACTGTGGTCCCACCTCTCTTCAGGTCATTGACCAGGTCCTGCCGTGTAGTTCTGGGCTGATCCCTCACCTTGCTCATGATCATTGATGCCCCACGAGGTGAGATCTTGCATGGAGCCCCAGACCGAGGGTGATTGACCGTCATCTTGACCTTCTTCAATTTTCTAATAATTGCGCCAACAGTTGTTGCCTTCTCACCAAGCTGCTTGCCTATTGTCCTGTAGCCCATCCTAGTCTTGTGCAGGTCTACAATTTTATCCCTGATGTCCTTACACAGCTCTCTAGTCTTGGCCATTGTGGAGAGGTTGGAGTCTGTTTGATTGAGTGTGTGGACAGGTGTCTTTTATACAGGTAACGAGTTCAAACAGGTGCAGTTAATACAGGTAATGAGTGGAGAACTGGAGGGCTTCTTAAAGAAAAACTAACAGGTCTGTGAGAGCCGGAATTCTTACTGGTTGGTAGGTGATCAAATACTTATGTCATGCAATAAAATGCAAATTAATTACTTAAAAATCATACAATGTGATTTTCTGGATTTTTGTTTTAGATTTCATCTCTCACAGTTGAAGTGTACCTATGATAAAAATTACAGACCTCTACATGCTTTGTAAGTAGGAAAGCCTGCAAAATCGGCAGTGTATCAAATACTTGTTCTCCCCACTGTATTTCCTCATGGGTTTAAAGGCCTGACGAAGACTGAAATTGAATGTTGCAACTTTGGGCTGGGTATTCAAGTTATTGCCGAATCGAATGTATTTCACCCCGGCTCTGG